ATATACATAAACTTACTTCAGATGCTGTCGCTAAACTTGGAACTATCCCACAAAAACTGGATAATAGATTTGCCGCTTCACTAAAATATGTCACTCAATATTTTAGAATAGCATAAGCAATCATTCAACATACCTTTCTGTATCAGAATCCACATCTCTTGACTGGAATGAAATATAATGTAAGTAACCATAAACCTTTGTTTTAAAAATGTGTATCACATATATGCAGTCTTTCTGAGCTCATGGAGGATAACAATCACATAAAAGAAAAAAAAATACCATATGCAGATGGGTGGAGATATCAACATTGGTGTGATATGCAGAGGCGTGAAGATGTCAATATTGGTAAAGAGACAGGAAACCTAGGTCTCAATTTGGTATAGCAGGATTCAGTCCAGGATGATGCAAGGAATAAGTCTGAGGAAGTGAGCAGTGACTCACAAAAGGACATACTCTACCACAATTTTGTTAGTGTTTAAAGGTGCTACTGAACTCTTTCTACTACTATTATAAACCACAACATTCAAAAACCAGTGGGGGAACATTTTAACCTTCCAAGGCATTCAGCTGTTGACCTAAGAGTAGCAGTTCTCTTACAAAGAAATTTCAAAGGGAGATTAGAAAGAGAGACTGCTGAATTGCAACTGATAATGAAGCTCCAGACAATGCATCCACCTGGACTGAATTGAGACCTAGGTTTCGTCTCATTACCAATGCCTGCTATTGTCATTTAGTGTCTGAAATCACTTCACTCTCCAAGATATAAGCACAGATGGACTCACATTCCAGCTGTATCTGAAGAAGTGAGCAGTGATTCATGAAAGCTCATACCTTGCCACAAATTGTGTTACTCATTAAGGTGCTGCCGCACTCTTGCTCCCTTTCACTAATAAGGAATACAAGCCATGCTGTTAGGTTTCTCCCCCCCACCATCTGTTAGAAATGGAAAGGGGGATCTCTCCAAGTGCCATGGGACTCCCCCCTCTGGCATGCTCTCTCTGAGTCTTCACCCCTCCTCTGAAGAAGTGTGCTTGCCCACAAAAGCTTATACCTGGAATAAAACATTTTTGGTTTTAATCACAGGAAACTCTCTCTCTCCCATATATACCTGGAATAAAATGTTTTTTGGTCTTAAACACAGGAGACTGACTCTCTCTCACCTGGAATAAAATGTTTTATTCCAGGAGGTGGGGGGAGTCTTATACCTGGAATAAAACATTTTTGGTGTTAATCACAGGAAACTCTCTCTCTCCCATCCCTCCCTCCCTGTCTCTGAAGAAGAAGAAAGTGTGCTTGCACACAAAAGCATATATCTGGAATAAAATGTTGTTGGTCTTCTTAAGTCCCACAAGGCACCATCCCCCCCCGGCTCTCTCCCTCCCGTTCCCTCCCCAGAGGGGGAGCCCTCAGCCAATAGAGGGAAGGCTTTCTTTCTCTCCTTTGAAGCAGGAAACAGGAGAGACTGTCCAAAAGTAGCTGCAATGTTGGAAGCAGCACAGAGTCAGCTGCTCTTGGGCTGAACTGGAGGCTTGCAGGGGTTGGATCTGACCCATGGGCCATATGTTTGACACCCAATACAAAGGGTCCTCCAGCTGATCAGTGGGCCACATGCTCCTGCCACAATCAGCTGGAGGGCCCTTTAAGTCACACAGGAGGAGAGGGAGAGGGGTGGCCGCTGCTGGTCCCTGTTGTGGGCAGGGCTTCTCCCACCAGCCAGCAGCAATCAGGAGCCCATGAAATTGGGGATCTCAACCCCATCTGAGGACTGGCAAGCTTACCAAGTGAAGCTCCCAAATAATTACTAAGGTCAGCCTTTTATAGAGAACATTGCAATAATCCAGTATGGATACGACCAGAGCATGGGTAATTGTGGCCAAATCATGCTTGCTGAAGAAAGTCCACAGTTGGCACACCAAGCAAAGCTTGGCAAGGGCACTGAGTGTCTCAATGGAGCTCTATGCTTCCAACTGAAATTAAGAATCTAAATTATCCTCAAAATTGAGAACTGCTCCTTTAGAATGAGTGTGATTCCATTGAAAACAAGCTGTCCCTCCACCAATTTTATTACCAACCAATAGCATCTCAGTATTGTCTGGATTGAACTTCAATGTAATCCAGCCCCTTATGGACTCCAAGCACCAATTCAGGAAATCTTTTGTTGTTGATGAAAAGGAAAAATACAACTGACTGCTATCCACATACTGACAACACTATACTCCAAAAATCCCTACACTTCTTCCAGCAACTTCATACTAAGCTGAAAGGGGAAGAGAGTGAAACCTTGCAAAAAGCCACAGAACAAATACTAGTGATGAACATTTGCCCTCTTCAATGCATAATCCATTTCAATGTCACAGCTGTGTTTCCTTTAAAAACTGAGAACACAGCGGGGCTTTTTAAAAACACTGACCATTTCAAGAAATTCGTAGCTGCCCAAGAAATCTTAATTGCTGTACTAATTAAGAGGTTTTAAATTTTCTTCTTGGAATGTTGATTGAACTTGAAGCAGGATTTCTCTTGTGCTTGTTGAGGGCTCTTTCTTTCCACCCCCACCTCCCAAGTCTTTTTCTCTGTTCTGCAGATAAAGGCGGTGAGTTCCCACCCCCTTTTTTCCTTGCCCAACACTACCAGTAAGTAAACATTTAACCCATCAAGAAGACATATAAATACATGGTACTCCCTCTCCCCTTCCCCCTGTGAAATGGAGGGGAGTCACCACCATAAGCTGGCTGCTCAAGCCTCCTCAGCCCAAACTTGGGCTGACATGAGCCAGCAGTAAGAACCTGCTCTTTCCCCCTTGTTAGGGGGACAGGGATGTGTGGCTACCCAGGTTACCCATGGCTAAGACTGCTCCTGCTTGCACCATCTTCTAATAATGATACAAGACAGGAACAGAGCCAGTGGAGTGCAGGTTCCCAATCTCTGTCCCAGGGCACAACTGTTTATTTTTTACAAAATTTATATCCTGCCTTTCCGCCTTTACAAGGGCCACCAAGACAGCTAACAAATTAAAACATACATGATACATGATACAACCATTAAAACCAGCCCCCCCAAAAAAATACACACATCATTAAAACAATTAAAAACAGAATTAAAATATGTATGGCATAAAAACAGTCATTAAAATATTGGTCAGGAAGGAGGGATCACTGAGGCACCAACTGAAACCCAAGAGTCTTCACCTGCTGGCAGAAAATGGCAACAGGACAGATGAATCTCCCTGGGGAGAGAGTTCCAGAGCTTGGGTGCCATGAGCAAGAAGACCCTTATCTTGGGTTGCCACCTAGCTAATCTCAGAAGACGGGGGCACCCGAAGGCAGGGCTTCCAAAGATGACTGTAATGGTCTGGCAGATTCATAAGGGAGAAGGTGGTTCTTCAGGTATGTTGCGCCCAACCAAATAGGGCTTTTTTGGTCAAAACCAGGACCTTGAATTGTGCCTAGAAATAAATGGGAGGGTGGGGCAATGGCATCCAAGATAATCAACATGCTCACACATCTGACTCCCACATATAAATTCCTCGTAACCATGCTGACATACGCTCACACAGCTCCAAGACAGAACAAAAACTAAATGGGGCTCAATGAGACAGTTCAATATTAAAATTTCACCATTTTAAGAAGAGGAGCCCTTCTTAGGAAGAACTGAATTGTTTATTAAACCACTGACTACTTACGATGGCAGAAGACTTCACAGACATGCAATTTTGTCTGTTGGGGATGAGGCATCAGCAATAAGAACAAAAAGACATTAAGGCAGCAAAGAAAGTCAAGGCAGGAACAAGTTAATGAAAAAGTTGACTAAATGTTCCACTGCCCCTATCAATATAGTGAACATTATTAGAGTCAGCAGCAGCAATGCGGAAAATGACTTTGATTCCAACAAACCAAAGCAAGGATTGCCAATATTAAAATTAATAAAATTCACAAAGGAAATGAACATTAATAGCTCAGTATATTACAAACTTCCATCTTAAAGAAGCTCAACATAATAACATTAAGCATTTAAGAAAAATGAAGTGATTGCAAGGGTTTTCTTGTCCAGTTCTTCCTTCTCTGTCTCTATCCATTCTCTCTCATCTTGGGGGGGGGGGGCATGCAAGAGAAAACAGATTTAGCACTCTGGCTGCTGCTAGTCTTGTCTCTCCCCAACAAACAGTGTGTGGGGAGGAATGCTTACAGGTGTAGCTGTCACAGTGTTCAGCTATGCTCCCTGATAGATGTGGCTGCTCATGTGTGCATGTGCTGTTACTCGGAAGCAGAAAGCTCATTCCTAAAAGCAGCCCCAAACTGTAACTAAAACAACAATCCCATTCTGATTTGTAAAGAATCCCAGTGTTACGTGCACATATCACACAAAACTCCATCTCTCTCATTACACAAGCTAAACATTCTACGCTTGCATCACAAGGACCTTGAGTACTTCTGCACAGAATTACATCACACAGAATCCACTTTACTTAATAAAGCCCATAGGATGAAAAAGCAGAAACATGTGCAACAGAAATAAGACGGAGGGAAGTCTTCCCTAAGCAGGTCTACTTGGATGAAAGTCCCATGTTATTCAAGGGGCTTACTCTGAGGAAAGAGTCCTCAGGATTGCAACCTGAATGTGTGAGGACACATGTAACGTTTCTTCTACTGATTGTACTTATATTTTATGCTTTATGCAACTGGATCAGCCAATCTGCTTAAACTGGAATCCTAAATCATAACAAAGGTGATCAAAATGATTTCTCCATGTATTCAAATGAGTAAACAAGGAATGCCTTCAAATATTAGAATTTGTTAACAAACTTCAAATATTAAGGACCGAATACCATTTCTGTGTTCTAAGCAACCAATTGGAATAGTTTAATCAGCTTTCAACACTAAACTATTGAGCAAGCAAAAGGAAAGTAAACCGCCCTCCAGAAGTTTTTTCCTTTAAATTACCAGTGTGGTTATAAACGAACACTTTCTTGGTTTTATTTTAAACATTACATTTATTTGGTCTGCCTTTATGCATTCACTTCAGCACACTCCTCACATTGGACACTGTTATTAATACTTGGAAAACCTCTGGACATTTTTCATTCTTTGGTATGTTATCCAATACAACTGAGAATGCAATCTGAATACCAATTATATTGGCTCTTCGAAGACAACTTTAATCCAGGATTTATTAAAGGGCTTTCCCACTTGCTAAGCTACCTGACAGGAAGCTCCTTCATCCTGCATTCCTCTGACAGACTTTGTTCCGGTGTAACAAATGACTGAAGGGAAATTTCATTGTGCTGAACAGAGTGCCAAATATTCAGAATGAAAAAGGCTGTACTGAGAACATTTTGTTGCTCTCCGAGACAGAGTGGGTGTTGCTGCTGAAAGAAACATAAAGCTTGCTGGAGAAGGCCCATTGGCATCACAGTATCTTTTAATATTAGCCACACTGTTGTATCTGTCGAGATTTACAGCATCACGTCATTTATTTTGCAAACTCTTCTCTGCGACCAACATTGCCACAACCATCTTTATGCAAATCACTGTGAGAACGCAAAAAGGATCATATACTTTTAAGTATCCACTTAAGAATCCACTATGCAAAACAGTAGCAAAAATAAGTTGTTGTAATATCCTCATTAGTGAAGTTAGACAATATGCTAAAGAAAATCAAAAGCAACAGCAAAGAAGTCATAGAAGTCCAGCATGTAGAGACGTCTCTGTCTGACATATTTCACTAGGAGAAAGTAGGAAATGTTCTTGGCCAGGCCACAGCTCCTTCATATTTGCTCTTCAGAAGACTCCCTTCTCTGTTGCAGGGCTGTTAAGTGTATTTGATTTCTCCAAGTCCACACTTCAAATTGTATTAAGAGCAATACATCTTAGCCACCATCATTGTCAAACAAGAATTACTGTGTTTGGCTCATCCTTTTCTATTCCCTGTGTAAAGAAAACACAGAGCAAGATGCAAGAGTGCTAGTCCAGTCTGGTCAGCTCTCTGTACTGTGAAAAGTAAAAGATCATGTCACACACATCAAAGAAAACTGTCTCAGAGGTCTTTTATAAAATCTTAATAGAGAGCCTACCAGCATACGAAATGGCTCATTTCACCAATGGTTTTGTGTAAGTTCACATCAAAGGAGCCTGAAAGCCACTTTTAAAGACATGGAGAAAATAGTATATTTTATTAAATAAAAAGGTTATTGCTGTTCACCAACAGTTTGTTTTAAAAATAAACCATACAGCCTGATAGAAAACACAAGTCTGATTAATCAAGTGACCAAGACAGATAGAAAACGAATCTGCATGCCACGTGTTTCTTGAAGGGTCATTTACATTTTGGCAAAATGATTTGTTTTGGGAGGGGAAAGCATGAATACCCCACCATAGAGCAGATGTTGCTTTCTCACATCTGCATCCCAACTTATTTTTAAAAAATGACACAAAACTGGCAGTAGAGAATCCAGGGGCTGTGAGTGAATCCTCTTTGTTCATCTGTGACTAGAGAATGGGTGCTGCCACCTTGAAATTCTGCTGGCAAGCCAGAAGGAAGGTTTGAAATGCTGCATGAAAAAGAGAATGAGAGAGATAAGCAACTGCAAGCTTTGTTCTTTTTGCAGTGTGTGTCTGGCTTGTGTTAAGACCTCCAATGACTTCAACCCTTTCAGTTTCTCCATTAGATTGGTCCCAGACTCCTGTCGAACAGGTATAACTCAAGGGAGGGGGGGGGACAATATGGGGACCAAACAGGAATATTTCCATATTTTCTGTTCCCATTGAAACTTTCTCTGCCAAACGAGTGCTGATTGAAGAGAATGGAGAATATGTGTGTGAGACACAAAGAACACGTGACTGCACATATATGGCAAAAAACCCCAGGTTGCTTACCTGTAACTGATGATCTTCGAGTGGTTATCTGTGCATTCACACCTGGGATATAGTGCGCCTGCAATGACCTCGATTGGTTCCTCTTGAAAAGCGAAAGGGATTTTCGTGCCCACTCCCTTGTCACGCGCTGGCCCCACTGCGCATGACTAAGGGAGGGGCACGACAATCCCGCCAGTGCATCACACCTCTGGTGTAATGCTTCATAAAAGTGTGAGGGGTAGCCCAGGTTGCTGCTTGACAGATGTCACTGAGCAACAAACCTCTCAGGAAGGCTGTGGACGTAGCTACTGCCTGGGTGCAATGAGCTCGGAGCGGGTCCGGGAGTGGCTGTTTGGCCAGTAAGTAGCACAGTAGATATTAGATAGATAATATTAAATAGATATTATTTACCTTGACTTCCAGAAAGCTTTTGATAAAGTTCCTCATCAAAGGCTCCTAAGCAAGCTCAAAAATCATGGGATAGAAGGACAAGTCCTTTTATGGATCAAAAACTGGCTAGTTCATAGAAAACAGAGAGTGAGTGTAGGTGGGCAATTTTCTCAGTGGAGGGTGGTAAGCAGTGGGGTACCGCAGGGATCCAAATGGAACTCAGAAACAACCTTGGGCAGGAAACAGACATCCGGAGCCAAGGTAACACCTTCTAGGTCTAGGGTGACCAGCGTTAAATCGATATGGTTGAGCAGAGTCTCTCTGGAGCTTGCTACCAACAACCAATTGTCTATGTACGGAAAGATCCGTACACTCTGAAGACGGAGGTACGCCGCGATGACAATCATCCTTTTTGTAAAGACTCTGGGCGCTGTTCAGAGTCCAAAAGGGAGGGCTTTGTACTGAAAGTGGCCTTCTGAGACTGCAAAACACAAAAACCTCCTGTGAGATGGGTAGATAGTTATATAAAAATATGCGTCTTGCAAGTCCAGGGTTACCATCCAGACACCTTCGCTGAGAAGGGGGAGAATGCTTTGTAATGTTGTCATTCAGAATTTCTGGTTGAGTCCCCTGAGGACCATAATAGCACGGAGTCCTCCGTCTTTTTTGGGGACCGTAAAATAACGGGAGTAGAACCCGTGTTGACGTTGTGCTGTCAGGACTGGTTCTATAGCGTCCTTTTGAAGAAGGTTCTGGATTTCTTCCAGGAGTGTACTGGATGGTGGAGTAATTATGAAGTTGGGGGCCTCAGGTATCTGGATAAATTATATGAGGTAGCCTTTTTCGATGACGGAAAGTACCCACCGGTCTGATGTTATTCACTGCCAGGCAGCCAAGTAGGGAGACAGGCGGGGTGGGACGACAAGAGTCAAAGGCTCTGCTTGGGAGCTTTCGGAGTCTTAGCCCTATGCTGAGCGACAGATGAGAATTTTGGTTTGTGCCCGTAAGGGCGGGAAGACACAGTGGGTGAGCGTTGCCACTGTGTTTCCAGGGACGACTTAAGAGAGGATCTGCGAGACCATGGCTTGTTCCAGGATTTCGCTTTGGATAGTTTAGGAGCTGACGTGACTCCTAAGTTTCGTGATGTCTTTATACTTTTGTCTAGGTCTTGCAGGACCGTATCAGTCGTGGCACTGTAAAGGCCCTCACCTTTGAATGGAAGGTCTTCAATGAGAGTCCTGGTGTCCTGCGGTAGGGCAGCAGAACGCAACCAGGCATCATGTCGGAGGGTAACTGCTGAAGTCAGTGTTTCGGTAGCCGCATCCAAAGTGTGCTTAGCTGCATTGAGCTGATGCTTAGCCAAAAGCATTCCCTCCTTTTGAATCCTGTGAGCCTGACGGTTAGAGTCCTCAGGGAGGGTTGCAATAAATTCAGACATCTGCTCCCAAAGAGCAAACTCCCCATACATACCGTATAGTTTGAGGTCTTGATGCCAAGTGCTCCCGCAGAATAAATTTTTCTTCCAAACGAATCAAGTTTCCTTCCTTCTTTCTCAGAGGGGGTGGAATGACTGTGTCTGCCTTTGGAGGAGGAGGTGACTACGACATAATTAGGTTTAGGCTGGGTAAATAGAAATTCAGCACCCTGCTCCTGCACCTTATACATATGATCTACCCTCTGGCTCGAGACAAGGGTAGATAGTGGGTGAGACCATAGGACTTTAGCCACCTGAAGTCATCAGTAAGGCAATCGGGGTAGAGGTGTCCATCCGGATGAAATCGGACACAGAGTCTGTCACAGTAGGCAGGGGTTGCACCGTAGCCATCTGCTTGATGAAATCTCCATAGGATTTTAAGTCTTCCGAAGGGGAGATTGGGAGATCATCGCCCATTTGTTGAGGTGGCGAGGGTTCCACCAGAGGATCGGGGTTTTCATCCTGAGTGGGAGGAAGTGTCTGAAGAGTTGGAGTGCTCAGAAAAAGACATAGGTAACATCGGTGTCGATGGGATCGGTGTCGATGGATCTTTAAACTTTGGAACTGTCGGGTGCGACGGCTTGGGAGGTTTGCCCGTCGGCCTTGATGGTTGGGGCTTCACAAACTGCAGCGTCAATGGAGGATCTCGATACCAGAAGAGATGGGAAGAGGTGGACTGACAGTCCCATTCCATTGGTTGGGGTGGGAACCACGGCATGCTACCTGGAAATGGTTAGGCCCCAAACATGTATTGCCACTGCCGTTGATCCCAGGAGGGCGGTGGTGGCAGGTGGATCAGTGCCAATGGTCTGTCTCGATCATCAAGTCAGAGCTGTGAAGGACGGATGAATGCATCAACTCCATGGTCTGAGTGCAGACTTTTGACACTGGAAGACCAGGAGATCTGTGTTAAGTCCACATTGTGCTCAGAGTCAGTGAGCTGGATAAGGACGCAGTGAAGGCGACTGAGGTACACCTTGTGGCTGCTCTTGACTCGAAGAGTCAAGGGAAGCAGCCCCCGTAGGATTCGGTTCCGTGGCCCTCCGAGGGGTCAGCGGAGATTGCGCAGGGGGAGTTTTCTTACGCTTTTTATGCTTGACTGGCCGATCATCCTTGCCCTCCCTGCATTTTTAGAGGGAGTATGAGCTACGGACTGAGATGTCTAGGTCGAGCGTTTCAGCATCAGGCGGTCAACATCTACGTGAGTCGGTATCGGGGACAGTGCAGACGTCGATGTCAAGGCGGCAGTCGACATTGGCGCATGCCCTGAAGTGTTCTGTGACGACATCGGTAAAAGTGCTAACTCCAAAAGCGCAATGCAAAATCTGGCAGCTCTGTCCTTTCTTGTCTGCTTCAAAAACTTTGCGCAATGCACACAAGAGTTCATTTGGTGCAATTCCCCGAGGCATAAAAGACATAGGCTGGGAGAGGGGACGACACACACAGGGTCTTTTTAAAAAATGACCAAACGACAGAGTCCAAAAGAAAACAAATCCAGAGTAACGAAGTCCTTTCACTTAACAAAAAATAAACAAGAAAAAAACGAAGAAACGTCGAAGAAAAAGAGGAATAGGCCTAAAGCCCAAATTTTTACCGACTGAAGCAGAGAAGATCCTACCAGCACGGCGGTCAGAAGAGAACTGGCGGGATTGTCATGCCCCTCCCTTAGTCATGCGCAGCGGGGCCGGCGCATGACGAGGGAGCAGGTGCAAAAATCCCTTTCGCTTTTCAAGAGGAACTGATCGAGGTCGGTGCAGGTGCACTATATCCCAGAGGTGTGATGCACAGAGACCACGAATAAGATCATACTACTTATTTTATTTACTTCTTTTATACCCCACCCTTCTCCCCCTTAGGGACCCAAAGTCACTTGCATCCTTCTCCTCTTTTATCCTCACTACAACCCAATGAGGTAGCTTAGGCTAAGAATATGTGACTGGCCCAGGGTCACCCAGTGACCTTCCACAGCTAACTGGAGATTCATTCCTGAGTCTCCCAGATCGTAGTCTGTCACTTTAACCACTATACCACACTAGCTCTCCAGTGTGGCCACCACACAAAAGCATCTTTAATCCTGTCTTGCATACTATAAAAGCTCATACTTCAAAGTAAGTTATCCCAGGGCCCCGGTCACACGGGCCGGATATCGCGGGGGGGGGAGGCGTGGCTGTTTGCCCCGGAGCGAACTACTGCGTGGCCGCGGGATCACACGTCCTGCCAATGTCCGGTGGGGGGGGGAGCCCGGGGAGGTGCTGATCAGACGGCGCGGCAAAGAAGCGGCGCTGCCGTGGCAAACGGGTTTTTTTTTTAACCCAAGTATGCCCTTGCGCCGTTGGGTGCTTGTGCACATCCTGTGGAGACTTAAAAAAAACCCCTTCTTTGCGACGGGACATGGGCGGGCGCCGGATGCCACGGGATTCTATCGGAAACGCGATCAGGCGCCCGCCCTTGCCCCGCGGTTTCCGGAAACTAGTACCTCCGAGGTACTAGTTTTTTGCCGCGCGTCTTCGGCGGGAAGCCTTGGTTGAGCCACGGGAGCGCTACGCTTCCCAGATGTGCCGGTGAGATCGCACCCGGAAACTCCGCCTATCTTCTGTTTCTCTAGCGTGGCTAATGTTCCATGTGACCGCAGCCCCAGTTATGCAAACACAGACACACACTGAACAATATTGGTCTTTTAACCGTCTTATTCAAAGTGACATCCCAAAAGGTTCTCAAAGAAAACATATAATACTGTACCATGCTGATATATGTGTGATATATGTGTGATAACCCACTGATACAGTATGCAGCCTTTCAGTAGTATGGTCATGCTAGTATTAATGAATACCT